ATATATATAATACATGAAAAATAACGTGTAGGGGAATTATTTCACTTCTTCATCATATATATCCCTATAGTGTTGTAACTTTTTTCAGTGTCCCTTAGCATTTTTTTTTCCTTTGGGGACTGAGGATTTCTCTGCTACCTTTTGCCTTAAGATACAGCTTCTTAGCAAGTAATGCAGGTAAGGACTGACCAGAGCAAGCTGAACAGGCAGGCTGCATTTTGGACATTCTTCTAACCCAAATAGTTGACATTTCAGCTTTAAACTGTTTTTTAACAGTTATGAATAGTCTAGATAATGCTTAAAAGATATACTGGAGTACAGTTTCTGGATTTGAGTGCCTTAATTTTAAATCCAGAATTACTTTTTGTCTCATATGTCACTTATTTACTTCTTTTGTGTCTTAATGCCTTAAGTATTGACATTTTTAATGTCTAATTTATCAGTGAAGTCAATAAAATGCTTGACTGAAGGCCTCTTTCACCACTTTCCCATTTGATATACATTATATTGCAGATAAGATTTATTCTACCAGTTTTTTAGCAATTGGATTAAGCTGTATACTGAATAATCTAGAATTCTTTGCGTTTATAGGTTTTCTGCATATTTTTATAATCTCCAATGAAAGCACTATGAAGTTTGCCTCACAATGTGACATTGGGTTCTTTCTCTTTCTTTCTTGCAGACAATGCAGATGTTGCTTTAGTTAATTTTTATGCTGATTGGTAAGTTATACAAGGTTTTTTTCTATGTTTAAACTTCTGCCTGTTCAAAACTGTGTTGTTTGGCTATAGTTTTCCAATTGGAAATACAGTGCTATGTTGCTTTCAAACTAGTTATTTTCAGTTTTGGAGGTTTTTTTCAGTCCTGATTACTTCCCCTTCTGCTGTGCTGCTGTGTCTTGTTTCCTTCAGTGCTCCCATCAGAGGAAAAAGGCTTCTATAGTAGTATGGAATAACATGCTATGTAATTGGTTTTTTTCCCATTTTTAGCAAGACAGATTTCATTACTGTTTTGCTTCTTAACATAGGATAGTCCAAAATATTGCATTTTTCCATTTTCTTCTGTATTGGTCCCATGTATGTGTGCTATAAAGAAAAACACTTGAAATCACACTAAAAATCAAATCCTTCTCTAATCTGGAAGATCTTCAAAGTGGAGAACTAGGGAATTAATAATTGAGGGATGAAATCCCAGCAACTTGAAAAGGAAAGAATTTGGGGCCAGGATAATTTTAATTGCTTTTGAAAAGTTATTTTGAAAAATTCATACCCAGTTTTTTCATATAGAATTATGTTCTCAATGCCTTCATTTAAACTTTGCATAAAGATAGACATTATACCAGTCTAAATCAGTTTAATAAGCTTTGTATATATCTCTGTCATTTTATAAACAATTTTCATGTTCAATTACTTTGCATCTGTTCATTTGCTACCACGGACTAAATTGAGATTAGGCATATTTAAACCAATAGAAAATTTTTTAGCGAGATTGCATTTGTGTACCAACTAAGCTATTTGTTTCAAGTGTCTTTCTTTATAATGGTATTACAACCAAGTAACTAGTTAAGTAAGAAACTAGGTCTAATCTCTTACCTGTTCTTTATAGAATTATGCTATAAAGGCTGTCTTTTAAAAGAAGTAAATAAATGAAACTTTTAAGATGGTTATTTTCAGTTTGTGATCTGCAGATACCTGCTGGAGTACTTCAAAAGGTTTTACCAAAGATAACAAAGGAAAGTAAACCTATGGAGAGTAAATTTAGTACACTGAAATTGGGGTCCTAACGTGACGTTTGCATGAGAAGAGATCAGTTTTGCTGATGTAGAGACTCTGCTGTAAGTGTGGAGAGCAAGGAGTGACAAAGAAGCTGTATGTAACATACACATGCTACATAAATGTGTAGCATATAGTTGTGCTGCCCAGCATCGTGTTTATTTCAGAAAATGGCCTTAAATTCTGTTTGTATTTTGAGAACAAAACATGCCTCTTCCCTTGAGTGTTTGCTGTTGTAGACATAACAGCATCCCCAAGCTATCACTGTTAAGTTTGAACAGGGCTTCAGTGCGGGCTGTTTCAGTGCAAGTCTGCTCCAGGAGGTCTCATTCTGACAGCTTCTACAGTGCCATTACACATCTTCAGTTTAAAATTCTGCCATGTGTTTAGAAGAACAGAATATAAAATAATTGTGTAGACATATTAGTAATAGACTTGTGCACTAATGTTACGCTAAACTCCCCAAAGCATCTTTACAGCCCTCCAGACTTTTCCATGGGCAGAAAGAGAATTTCTGTCAAAATCTGACATGACTGGAAGAAAAAACCCATGGGATTTGTTCATTGTGCTGTAATAGCAGTCTGTTCAAATTCTACCAAACTTGAGCAATAATATAATAGTACCTATAGCTGTATTAGTTATAATTTGAGCAATATTATATACTAATAAATTCTGTGGTTGGCTCTTATAAAGTTATTTCTGTGATATTTCTTGAAGATGATTGTTGGTGAATATTTGAATCTCAACAGTCCAAGTAACTTCTTTTACTGTATTTTTAAAATTACTTCCCGAGGGATAATTCAGGTAGGAAAAAATGAAGAACAGACTTTCTGAATAGAATATATTTCCTAAAGGCTTATAATTGATTAATGGTGTTTCTTAGGCAGATAAAGCAGAGGGTCACATCTTGAACTGTATATTCTTGTAGAATGAGTTCTTTTCTTCCCACTTGAATTATTCAAGTTACTTTTTCATCCAGTCAGTTACTGGAATGTTTACAAGTAGATGGTCTTCTCCAATAACTTTTCTTTCTTTTTTTTTGTTCTTCCCTTCAAAGATTGAAATATTCCCTGAGTCATCAACTAAAATATTTGCAATTAGTATTTTGAAGTTGTGATTTTGTGTTCTGTACACAGGTGCCGCTTCAGCCAAATGCTGCATCCTATTTTTGAAGAAGCTTCTAATGTAATTAAGGAAGAATATCCAGACAAGAGTCAAGTGGTGTTTGCTAGAGTAGACTGTGATCAGCATTGTAAGTGAAACCAAATTTAAGGTTTTTTTTGTGCTATCCTGCCAGTACATTACTCATTGTATTGGGGAGTATACTAGGCAGCAATCTACAGTGTAGTTGGACCTGCCCCATCACTTAGCCCAGACAGTTGCCTGTATACATCAGTGAACCTGTTTTGCCATATTTATCAAGACAATCTCTAGTGCTTCTTTCTCATTGCATCCATAAACATGCATTTATATCTGTTCAGCCTGTCTCATTTAATGGGGAAAAATAGCTGGCGTTATAAAGTGAATTGACTTGTGGAGGGGTCAGAGAATCACTGGAGCTACAGATGGTGCAGGTTTTCACAGCCAAGAGAGGGAAGGGCTTTGTCAGCATCAAGATGATGTTCTGCTCAGGTCTTCCCTCCAACAAGGAGTCATGGTGGACTGTAAGTTAACTTTTGCACAGCCAGGAAGGGATCGGATCTTTTCTGCTTTGCTGTTTGTACACGTGCCAACGTATGTTTGGCTATTTGAGTTCTCCCTCCACCCAAGAAACACATGAAAATGATGTGCTAAAACTTACTCATTTTATGCTGGTATTAATCCCAAAAGTTGCTTTTTAATCCCATAATAAGTAAAATGTAAGGAACATCTGCTACACATTGAAAGACAAACAGAAAGTAGTAAGATTTTTATTATGAAGCTTTTTATAGTGTAAGATCAGCTTTTCTGTTTTATGCTTCTGGAAGAACAGCACTTGCAGACATCATTTCTTTACAGTGGCTTGTGATTCCTAAATAGTAGTACCAGTACCAAGTGGCTTCAAATGCCAGCAGAAATTTGGTTCTAGGCAATACTGATTATAATATTTGGACTTTACAAAACTGTTAATTGTAAGAAGAATCACAGTTGGAAATTTGAGCTATCGCTGTACATGGTTGTTAGTTTGTATCCCTAGCACATTGCTAGGACTTTACTGTTGACCTAATAGTTTTGTTTTAATGCTCTGTTAAAAAAAAAACCTGAGGAGAAAACATTATAGGGCAGAGAAAAAGTCAACTGCGTTTCTGTGAAAAGTAACTGATTTTATTTACCGTTTTCTTTCCCATTTTGACAATCTAACTCTTTTGGTGTTAGAGAGGATTTTTCCCTAGAATGAGAATTCTTGAAGTGCCTTGGTTCTTACTTGGAGATTTAAAAGTCAGTAAGTCAAGTTGAGCATCTTCCAGTGGTGCTCTGTTTTGTGTGCATGCATGTAGTTGCCCAACACTAAGACCAAATGTCTTGTGATCTTCAGCGGTTTGTTTTTGCTTTTTACGCTTGAGACCTCTTTCAAGTGAGCAAACAGTATCAACTTGGTTCCTGAAGTGTAACAGATAAGCTGATTCTTCAGAGTGTCAGGAGTGAGCAAGTGTTTTGTCCCATCCCAAAGATCAGTAAGGACCAATACATGACCACACAAAACTTATGCCTCAGGGATTAAGTCTTTGAATCACTGGGACATCGGGTCCTCTTTACTGCCTCAGCTGGAAAAGAGGAACAGCAGTGCTCACCTAGGGTATGTGAGCAGCTTTAAAGCATTCAGTTGCCTTCCTGCATTGGAGTGGTAGGGTTGTGTTGGGGAACTGATACAAAAGTTTGAATGTACATGTTCTTGAAGAGCAGCTCCATTAGACACACAGTTGGAGAATCTCCTCCTCTGAGCAAATAAATCTCTTCTAGTGCCTTGAATACAGTGTAGAACAGGGCTCTTGTGTAACTGCCGGTAGCATTTCCAGAAGAGCAGCAGAATGGTGAGGCATAGCTGTACTTAATGTGCTTTCCAAGATATACTTTAATCTCCTTGACTTATAAGTCCAAGAGTGTTTTTTCTTTCTCATTATAATGTTGACTCTGTTAAGTGAATGTTTCCTACCTCCTTCCTGAACAGCCTTTTCTACAATCATAGATTATTTTCTTTTTGGAGGTTGGTGGGTTTTTTTTGGTTTTGTGAGGTTTAGTGGTGGTTGTTGTTTGTTGGGTTTTTTTTAGTGGTGTGTTTTTTGGTGGTGGTTTGGGTTTGGTTTTTTTTTTTTTTTGACCTGGAATACCTTCCCAGACTTAACTACATTTTCAGCTTCTTTCTTGTTCACACTTGGTGTTCTCTTCTGCTTCAAGTAATTTATATATATAGTCTGTGCTTGGGAGATCTTAACCGAAAGGATAGTACTAAGTATTCAAACTTGCCATCCCTAAAAATCACTTTTCAAGTAAGGCAGTGAAATCCCTTGGAGAAGTATATTGAAGGCAAAGCCTGATACATGATCTTTGCTGATTTTTTTTTTTTAACATCGTTTTTTGTCTGTCTTTGTTCTGAGATCTACTGCAGGATCTACACAAATAAACTGTCCCTGATCTTTGCAACTGTAGAAAATAAATGCAATTGTAGCAAACATTCTGATCGGTTTTGTATCAGCTTGTTAAACCAGTCACTCTACATATTTGAAATTACTTTTGCGTATACTTTTGTGTATATTCTATCATTTTTATCAGTGATAGTTTCTCAAATTAGCTTGAATCAATTGAGGGAGAAAGGGGGGAATTAAGGACATTCACTCTCTCAGTTTACTTGATTTTTATGGTTGTCCTTAATGAATAAATCTTATCTCGGTGTATAACAGTCTAGTTGGCTCATCTTTTCATTGAGGCAAGATATCGATAATGAAATTTTCTATAAAGTTCTCACAAAAGTCTGTAATAAAATCAGTCTGTGTTACTGAGTTTTAAGGTTTACAGTAGCAACTGAAGTTCTTAGTTTGTTTGCTGCAGGTTTAGTTGCTTGAGTATCTCAGAGTCTTTGAGTCCTTGGGCTGCTGGATGCCCAGCGTTTAACCATGGGATGTTCTTGTCTCAGCAGTTGTGTGCCTGAGAAAACTATCCTGCCCTAAGTCTTTAAAGGACTTTAGAAGCTGCTTAATCTTCTCCTCATACGCTCATTAATTTGAGCTTATCAGAGCTTGTTATGGAGAGCTGAGGCCTGGATGGAGAAGGAGATGTTACAGCAGAGAACTGTCTTTCTTCCTCTGGGAGGAGGTGCAGTGGGCTGTGTAGTGTGAGGCAGCCAAGAGTTTTGACCTTTCTTTTTAATACTGGAATACCATGATTTCTCTGTATTTACTCTGTGTCCTTAATTTAAGAAATAGATGAGCATGACTTCTGCTGCAGAAGCTGTAAAATGTGAGAATTGAAAATACAACCCTATAAGACAGATCAGATCTTTTTCCACAAGGTGCATTTGCCTTTTTGAACTAAAATTGCAAAGCTGTATGTGTTATGCCTGGTTTCTAGTGTTTACTTGCTGGTTTGTAAGCAGTGGTACATTTCATGACACACAGGTACCGGCTATGTCCTCAAGTTTTAATAATGAGGGGTGACCTCGTTAATGTTTATAAATTTGTAAAGGGTGAGTGTCAGGAGGAAGGAGCCAGGCTCTTCTCTCTGATGTCCAATGACAGGACAAGGGGAAACGGGAGCAAGCTGGAGCATAGGAGGTTCAACCTGAACATGAGGAAAAACTTTCAGTGTGAGGTTGACAGAGCACTGGACCAGGCTGCCCAGAAAGGCTGTGGAGTCTCCTTCTCTGGAGACATTCAAAACCCACCTGGACGCGTTCTTGTGTGACCTGGTCTAGGTGATCCTGCTGTGGCAGAGGGGTTGGACTGGATGATCTTTCGAGGTCCCTTCCAACTCCTAATAGTCTGTGATTCTGTGCTTCCAATGTATGTAATAACAGCTTTTTAGTAAAAGTGTGGATGTTACTGTATTATCCAGCATAGTTTAATGGATGTTGGAGTCAAGATTGTTACTGTCTTCCCACTCCCCTCCCCCGACCCCACACCCCCGTTTTACCTTTATATTTTTTTTGCATCTTTATATATTTTAGTAATACTAGAAAGCTTATGCCATATTTTGGGGTTTGTTATGCCTGCGGATTTCATACCGCTAGTAGTTCGCTATAAGGATTGTATTCCAGAGATGTTGGATTATTTGCATGACAAATGCTCTGTTTCTTTTTGAAGCCAAGACTCTGTAGGGAATCCAAATAGCTGATTTCAGGCCACTCAGAAACAGCTTTCAGAATGGTCAGCCGGGCACAGATACTTTCTGTCTAATGCACTATTATTGAAGCACACTGCAGGGCCCAGCAGCTCACACCAGCTTCTGAGGGTAAAGTAAATTAAAGAGAATTATTGATGCCCTGCCAAATGTTTGATGCTTAATGACAAAACTGTAATTCTGTCTGCTCTTATAGCCAATATAAAGATGTTCTTTTGGAAAGTGATAGGGCCCAATGTGATTAAATAAAAAAATGTAAATATTAGCACTATATTAAGCCTCTATATGTTATATTTTGCACCAGCTTATCATATTGGGGAAGATAATTAAAACTGAAATGTGTAAGTTAAGTCATGAGGCTGTTTTTAAGATGGTGTAGACCATAAGCTAAAGGTGAATCTCTTGAAACAGGTTCTCTTTGAGTTTTCAAGACCTCATCCTTTTATAAATAGTTCTGCTAAATTGCTTGCTGTTAAAGTCCTTGGTGGTTTTGGTGTGTTCGATTTAGTAATTCACTTATCTTAAAAATTATGCACCTCTATTTGAGGTGTAATACCTAATAAAAGTGGCCTTCCATATAAAATTATAGAAGATCTTTCTACGTATATGTTATTAGGAAGGTTTTGTTTTGGTAGGGTTTTTTTGTTTGCTTTTGGTTTTTTTGCAGTGTTTTTTTTTATCCTCAGGTTTCATGAATTCAGTATTGAGAGTTCTTATCTTACATTCTGAGAGTATTCAGAGTTCTTATCAACTAAAGTATGTATTGGGGGTTTGATTCTACTGCACCATTACTTCCTTGGTTTCTGAGTTTAAAAAAAAAAAAAAAAAGAAAAAATAATAGCTGGTTTGAATAAATCTTTGTGTTTCCAACCAGAAAACGGTTTCTCACTGGCGAGGTGCTTTGTTAGACCGACTGTTTAGGGAATTCTTCTTTCTTTG